TTATTACTAATAGTTATATGGCATCATGATGTCATTATTAATAATTGCACGTATTAATAATTGCGATTTTTCACCCAAACGCAAAATTTGCAATTAATAGTACCCGCATTTAAAAGTAACCTTAAGGTATTAGGTGTACATGTATTGCTATCATTGTTATTATTAGGTGGTTGTGTTGCTAGGTAACTATATTATCTTAGTGTGGTATTTCCCCTGTGTGTGTGTGTGTGTGTGTGTGTGTTTATGGATTTGGTTTGTAATTATTATGATTTTGAATGATTATTTGCTGGACTGATTTTGTGATCTTTTTGTTTTTGATGATAGCCTGCTATTAAGTATATTAAGTATACTGTGTTACGTGTAAGTAGAGATGAATTATTCAATGATACATATATTTATTATTATTGTATTACTCGGCAGGGAATCCATACCAAGTAAACATGCACATCTAATAATGTACATGTACAAGTTAATTAATGTTATTGTTATTATTTATGTTATTATTATTATTATTATTATTATTATTATTATTATTATTATTATTATTATTATTATTATTATTATTAGGATCAATTCTGAGTCATTGTTATTACCAGTGTTAGCAGCTGCTGAATAGCCTCCTGGCTACTTATCAATAACAAGAAAAGACCTTGAGAAGAAAGAAGTAAGTACCGGTACATTTAATACCTTTACACACTAGCACTTCTAATTTTGAAACTACTTAAAACAGATTGAGCTCTCTTGATGTGTATTACATGTAATTTAATGTACATCAGTTCATGTACTGAACCAGGTCAAACCTCATTGTCTCAATAAAATGAGATACATACAGCATATGTACGTGCATGTATAAAGGAGAGGAGCTTATGACAACAATGTCTGCATGGACTTATAGTCTAATGCTGCGTTACACAAACATGTTACAAACAAGTCAGCAAATGCGCCAATGGAAGGTGCTTAATGAAGCAGCTAATTTGTTAACAATAAGACCAGATTTACTTACAACAAATGAAAGAATGTACATGTACATGTCATGTACATGTACACAATCTATCAAATTTGTTTTTAATTATTTCATTATTTAATGTCTTTTTCTCTATTCTTTCTTTATTAATTATTATTTATTTTCCTTTTATTGCAGGTACAATGATCCTCAAAAGTTTTGCATTGATAGAGTTGGTAAAGAGACCTGTCTGCCTAGGAGCCATACACAATAATTCAATAATAATTAATAAACTTTTTTTCCTTCTGTAAGTTCTCCTTATCTTGGAGTGTTATATAAATGGATTGTGTATTAATCTCCTCCTTTTTTTGTCCTCTGTCCTTTTGCTCATTTTCCCTCTCTCTCTCCTCCAGGTTCCATTTTATGATATTGATCTCACTAAGGATCCAGTCACCTCAGGATTAGACGACCTTTTTACTAAATATTCCTTCCACTCTGTCATTAATTTCGCTGGTATGAAAGCAGTCGGTGAATCAATGAAGATACCACTCGAATATTACTCGTGTAACCTCTCGATTGTATTTAATCTACTAGTTGTTATGAAGAAGTACGGGGTCAAGAACTTTGTATTTTCATCGACGGCCTGTGTCTATGGAGAGTCCCAGTACCTCCCTATTGATGAGTCCCACCCAGTGGGGGACTGTGCTAATCCTTACGGGAAATCCAAATATTACATT